ATATATATATATATATATATATATATATATATATATATATATATATATATATATATATATATATATATATATATATATATATATATATATATATATATATATATATATATATATATATATATATATATATATATATATATATATATATATATATATATATATATATATATATATATATATATATATATATATATATATATATATATATATATATATATATATATATATATATATATATATATATATATATATATATATATATATATATATATATATATATATATATATATATATATATATATATATATATATATATATATATATATATATATATATATATATATATATATATATATATATATATATATATATATATATATATATATATATATATATATATATATATATATATATATATATATATATATATATATATATATATATATATATATATATATATATATATATATATATATATATATATATATATATATATATATATATATATATATATATATATATATATATATATATATATATATATATATATATATATATATATATATATATATATATATATATATATATATATATATATATATATATATATATATAATTTGAATTTTTGGAAACTTTAACTGTGCTGTCAACTTTGGAAAAAGTTATCCCAATTTACTGTGTTGAGTTGGCATTATACAGAAATTAACAGCTATATTGGTTTAAAAATGTTAATTTTTTTCCATTTCTACAGGGGTAAAGCACTGTATTAAATATGGGTTTGATTGCAGAAACTAATAAAGTATTCTCTAAATAATGGGAAAAAAAGAATAATATAAGACTACAAGAGCAAGAAGCAATTTAAATATGTTCAGGGACCATTTTCATCTTCAGAATTAAGGATTATTTTAATTTGACATCATTGCCTTTTCTCTTTTACTTTCCATTTTAGTTTTATTTTAGGATTCCCTATTTTTAATGTTCATATAGAGATTTCTTTAACTGAAATACCGAATAGTTTCTCTGGTGTGAAAACCTATAATAGTACACAGGATCCTAATGAGATAACTGACGATGTGAAATAGGAAGTAAAGGGCTAAAGGTGTAGGGAAAGTGGGAAGGGTGGGTGAAAGGTAATAAGGGAGAGGAAAAAATATGAGAAAATGAAAAAATGGAAATAAAGTGTTTGTAAAGTGGGAGGGGAGGAGTGGGTGAAGGGAGGGCAGGGACAAGGGGAAAAAATGAGAACCAAGACCTATAATGTAAAGGTACAGGATCCCAATAATGAATGTAACTGTATTGTATACCTAGATTGTACCAATAAACTCAATAAAAAGAAAAAAATATGGGTGTCAGATACTGTGTCCCAGTGAAATGAAAGTGACAAAGTTTGAATTTGGTATGAAGTGGGGTCATTGCTGTGACTGTTAACTGACAATGTGAGTCACAGGCTGTTGGAAATGGGTCATTAGAAGAGTTTGGAAGGTTTGAAGAGCTCAGAAAGAGAAGACCAAGATTGCTTTAAGCTGATTTTGATGAAAAATTTCTGGTCAGAGATCAGTAGTGTAAGACTTAAAGTCACACTTTTACTCCGTGGAGCGTGAACAGCCGAATGGCCTCCACAGTGCTGAGCCCTAAAGCTCGGTGAGGCTCTAGGAGCTTGTCAGACAGCGAGAGTCACCCAGGAAGGAACACACCAGGCTGGTTGGCAAATAGACCTTTATTAGTCAGGCCAGATGGCACTCCTGGTCAGTTGATCCAAGCTGGTGGTCATCAATCATATACTTGACCGTTATGTACTAATGATCAGCAGATCGATTATCCATTGTTTTATAGATTGTGGTGTTCAGAACATTCAGTTGCAGACAAACAAGGAGTGGAGTGATTTACTTTGGGCCTCTATGTTTGTTACAGTTTCTATCTAGTTTCCCACCTACTCCCAAGCAGTTACCTAGTAATTTACAATTAATCATTACTTATCCTATAAGGGGTGGGGGGACAACAGTCTCTGGGTCATTTGCTGGTCAACATGGAGTCTCTCTAGTTCAGTAATGCTCTTACTGTAGACCCAAATATTGATAGAAAACCAGATTGTAAAAGCCAGATTCAGCAGGTTTCCTGTGGGAACAAGAATTCCATGAGCAGTTGGACTAGAGAACATGTATGTTACAGTATGGCAGAAAATTTGTCTACATTTTGCCTTTGTTCTGCAAATGTGCAGGATACTGAGTTAAAGGGTAGTGGACTAATTAGTCTAATTTAGTAGGAAATTTGAAAGTACCCTTTTCCTTAATGTCTCAACAGTCCCAAAACTGCTCAGAAGCCTAAGTCAAACTCTCTGAGACTCAGCAAACTCTTGTGAACCTCTGTAAAAACAAGTCCTATAATCCCCAGGTGCAGTGGAACAGGGTAAACATCCCCATTCCTATGGGAAGGAACAGGGTTATAGAAGACCGAAACCAACCAGGGTGAATGTTAAATTCTGTAGTTCTATGTCTGTCAACTGGAGAAGATAACTGTGAGATGTGGGTCCCCGAGGATTTCAACGATTCTGCTCCTGCAAAGCTTCAGGATGCAGCCCACATGGTGTCTCTCTTGCCCTGTTGGTTTTCTCAGCCTCCTTCCAGTGTTAGTGGCAGTCTTCTTACCAAAATCCATAGTGCATTTTTAGCTACATTTCCACAGTACAAACACACACATACACACACACACACACACACACACACACACACACACACACACACTTGCACATGCACACTCTTCTCTCAAAAGTATATTCTAGCTTTCAAGGCAGTGATGTACCTAGAGTCTGTGCTGTTTAGCATCACCGTTCAATTTGCAGGGCTCAACTCTTCCTTGCCCCAGCCACACCATTGCTTCAAGCATTTCCTTTTAAATCTGAGTGGAAGCCTCCATGGCCTGCAACTCTTGCATTTGATATGCCTGGATGACCATGATATCAGTGCAAAGGTCTGCTGTCAGCTCAAGAAGTGGTCAGGGCCCTCTGGAGCATGGCAGCTACAGACGGAGGGCCAAAATGGCTGAGCAAAGTGAAATGAATCCCTGTGAACCAGAGTTTCACTTCTACATTGAAAAGTCTGTACATTTGCACCAATGAGTCTGCAATGAATGGTGTCTTGATTATTTCAGAGATGTCCTCAAGAGTACCTTTCTTCTTGTTCCAGTTAAATCATCCCCCCACACAAACTCAGTGTTTTGTCACTGAACCCAGCTCTGCTTCACACTCAGCCACATTCCCAGCTCTATTTTTTTTAACTTTTATCTTTTCTTTTTGGAGACAGGTGCTCATTAAGTTGCTAAATTCCCCACTAGGCTCAGACTTGAAATCCTCCTGGCTCAGCCTCCTAGGGTGCTGTGATTGCAGACATCTGTCACCACTACTCAACTTGATTTCTTTTGAACTTCTTCATATTTCACACATCCTTGGGCACCAACATTGCATATTATTCTTTTCTGGCCTAAATTCAAGAGGTATTTTTGTTTATTTGTTTTCTTTATGAACTAGAGATTCAACTCAGGGGCTTTGTGCTGAGCTTTATCCTCACCCCTCAACTTCCTTTTTATTTATCTATTTATTTTTAAACATGGCCTTGTTATGTTGCTAAATTGCCCAGACTGGGATTAAATTAATAATCCTTCTGTCTCAACCCACCCACAATAATGCTTAGGAATGCAGGCATATGACAGCACTCCTTAATATTTTTTAAATTCATGTGGTCTCCTTTTGCTCCAGATTCTCACTATGCATTGCATAGCCTAAATCTTTAACTGCCTTGAAATGTTATCAGCCAGATCACTTACAGTAGTCTTTCATTTTTAATTCACCCTCACATGATATTTTAAGACACCAACAAAATGTAAAGCATTTTTTTTCTCAGAGTGTAATACGTATGGTCACTAATCTAATTCCAAATAGAGTCCATATTTCAAACTGAAACCTTAGAGCCTAGCCTTTACTATATGCATTTATTCCTATCAACATTCTGGTCTTCTGGACTAGAACCAAAAACATCCATCAGGCTGTGCTACAGTATTTTAGGGCTTCTCTTGCATGCATTTCCAATCCGACCCAAGATCCCTCCACACACCAGATGCAGAGGCTTTTAAGTCAACGGGTTTGGTTACATGCTTAGACATCTTGAAATTGAAGGTTTTTCTTTGGTTTAGAATAAACTTGTATAGCTGTTCAACTTTGAAAATGCTTTTCTTCTGTAAAATCTTATTCCTACTATTTTATGCTTTATGCAGACTGACACATTTTTTTAAAATCGACATTGTATATCCATGTGTATCCTTATAGCATTCTCATTATTAAATTTTGCTCCATTAAAGAATTAGCTTTTATTCTTCTATTTTTACTTTTAACATTGTTAAGTTTTGAAAATCCATAAAGGAAAACAAATGGTATACTTGTTCCTATAGATTCTATGAGCAAAATACATCAAGCATGATGAATAAGGAAAATAATATATTCCTTTTATACTTGGAGAGAACACAAATAAAAAAACGATCTTTTTAAATCTACAAAGACAATTACAAAGGTGATACAGACACACACACACACACACACACACATGCATGCACACGTTTGTTTTTCTCATGCAAGTGGAATTATGAGTAAATTTAAAAAACAAAATTTACATTTTTTAAATTAAATATTATTAATATTTTAACCAAATGTTCAGAATTTTAAGTAAATAAAAATAGTAATTGAATTCCTTTACATTATATGTTAGATGCTACTACTGTGAAAGTTCTTGTACTTTATAGTTTATACACATCCAGTTACAAAATAACCACGATTTCAATTGCCTTTCTTTGCCTTTGGTCTTAACCTATGTCTAAGAGGAATTTAATCTTATTGTCAGCTTTTACTTTAAATGGCTCTGTTGTAATAGGTTTAGAATGGCTTAGGGTCATCATCTGTTTCCATGGTTATCATTCCACCTTAGCTAACAATTACAGCTTCTTTAACAGGATAATGAAACACACCACAATGTACAGAAAGCTTGCACTGCCTGAGAAATGTAAGCACTAGTGGGAAGCAGAAAGATCAGGTGAATTGTGAAAGTGTTTTACTTCAATATTCTTAGTAGCAGATATTCTATATCAAAATAATTTGTCATATTATTTTCTCTTTCTAACAACATTTCTAATAAAAAGACAATGCATATATTTCTTTGTTCATGTACATACTTAGAAGAAACAATGATTCTAGATCATAGTCTTCTTCAGTATATATAAAAATGTGTCTGTATCTAGGTGCTCAGGATTTCAAAGTACCCAGACCAAGTAAGGGTTAGATCTTTTCTATAAAGCTATTTTGGGAGTGGTGCTAAATGTTGAATCTAGGACTTCAAGTGTATTACAAGTCCTAGACATGCATTCTACCACTTAGCCATACTCTTGCCCTTTACAGTTATACTTCATCCTTTATACATTAATCTATTATACTACTTTTATTTTATTTCATTTCCTAGTGTAACTTTGTTTTATTAAAATATAATTTGCAGGCAGGTGTCTGTATTTACTTAATGATGAAGATATCAACAGCTATGTTACAATAGAAGACCAGACAAGGATGAATAACACAGTGATCACTGAATACAAGGGCAATGCAAAGACAGGAAGGTTATCATATATTTAAAATATTTCTCAAATGCACAGTTTGCTTTTAGCAAAAGTAAATAGATTGAAATATGAGATTGCAGTACTCTGAATTACTTTCAGAATCACTTTTTAGGTTAAATATTTTCTTCATTTTAACTTTACTGCAGCATAATAAATAATTGTATAGATTTAATGTATGTAAATAAATGTTTCTATGTAGATCATAAAATGATCTAGATTGGCTATCCTCAGAGACATACATTTATTTGCATATGAGTAACATTCACTTACAATTGAATCATTTAATTTATAAAATAGACAGATGAATCTTTGGGCACTCGACAAGTATTAAACTGCAACTTCTTACCTAGGGATTTCTCTAAGATAGACAGCGAGGAAATGTTAATATTAATCCTCACTATTCAATTTTCATTCTAGACAACTTTTAATATTTATGATACAGAGTGTTCAAGTTATGATAGGTATCACTGTGAAAATATATTCTAAAAGGCATTTAAGATGAATGAGAGAAGCCAGGCATGATAGTGCATGCCTGTAAATCTAGCAGTCTGTGGGGATGAGTCACGAAGGTCACAAGATTGAGCCCAGTCTGGACAATTTAGCAAATCTCTTGTCTCAACATGAAAAGGGGCTGTAGTTGAGCGTGAAGGATATAGACTCAACTCTTAATACAAAGAGAGAGAGCGCGAGAGAGAGAGGCAGTATAAATAACATTATGTCCTCTAGTTCATACTCTGTATATCTGTTACATTTTTACCCATAGACATCATTTTTAGTAAACAACACATCCAAAATTATATAATGCAATAGACTATACATGTTTTGTTTTACAAATGCCATTGTCAAAAGATGGCAATAAAATTATTTGCAGTGATTTCTTCCTTCTCTTTAGTTACTCTTTCCTGATAAAAATGTCATAAAACAGTAAGGTTATTTATATCTGAAAAGTTCTGCATTTCTACCATTATTATTTTTCATGTGAGTATAGGCCAGCTATGGGGAAAGTATAGCATGACATTTCTTTATTAATGTTGACACTTTCCCTGTGAATTGAAGTTTTGACTCTGTGTGTATATAAAGGCATTATTAACATTTGGGTGCTAGTTTTCCATCAATTAATCTACCTAAAAGTGTTTGCATGAAATAAGATTTGTTTACCAGTCATCTACTATATAATTTATGGGCTAGGGTTCACATTAATGAAGTTTAGTTAGAGCATTGAAGAATTATCATTCAGTCTCATTACCAAGGAAAGACATCTCATTGATCCCATAGGTGTTGTCATGTTGCCTATACTGTACTAAGTTGATTTATAGAGTCTGTATTTCAAAAATATGTTGAAATCGGAGACTTACTGTTAAAGTTGGTGACATTAAGATTTGAAATTTGTCCTTTACAGTAGTTTGTGATGTGGTGTTATTTTCCTTTTGCCTTTAAAAACTTTTCAAAGTAAACTTAAGCCCCACTGCATTTGAAGAATTTGAGACTGAGACACAATTGCAAAATAAAATGTATTCAATTATTTTAAAGGTTTACAAATAGATACTGTAGTTATTCTGTTTTACAGATAATGGGACTGAGTTACAGAGATTAGTATACTCAAACTGACAAAGAAAGTAAGGGAAAGAGCTATGATTAATTAATAAGAGCATATCTAGTTTTGATTTTTTATTATACTGGATGACATGGGACTCAGCAAGTCCAGAAACTGACATGCAGTGAGTGTTGGAGGAGTGATGGGAGTCTGGGGATCAGCATTAAGGGACTGTGTTAGTGCTAACATTGATTATGTTAACACTGGAAGACATTTACCCTTATTTAAGAACTCGAGTAAAATTTTCTAGTATTTCCACATAAAAGTGAAACTAATATATACTAAGCACCCAAAAAGCTATACGGAGTTTATATGTGGTGAAAGGAGGTGGCAATATTATTAAATAAAGCACATGGAAAAATAGCCACACTTTATCAGCCAGTACATTGATAAAATGGAAAGTAATATGATCTTGGAGAAGAAAATAATAAAATTGGGTGAAGGGAACCGATTGTAAGGAAGAAACAAACTAGTTAGCTCAATCTAGCAGAATAAGCAAATAAGGTGAAATTGCCTACAGGCCAAGGGCTATCCACAAAGAAAGGAATCATTGAGGTCCACCATAAAAATACTTGTAACTTTCTGTGTCTAGAGGAAGACTTGAACTTTCATTGGTCTTTTTGTTTTTGCTTTAAAAGAGGTACACTTGACATTAGGATATCACATATACTTGAGTTTTGATGTATTTTCCTTGTTGCTATTGGCATAAGTCTAGTAAAAGTGTAGGCAATACTGATTTCTCATAATTAACTTTTTCATTTTTAAATAATCTTTCTATGTTTTGTAAAGTATTATAAAACTTAATTGCTTAAGACTCCTGAAAGTTATTTATTATATTACTGGAGAATTCTGATTTCTACATCACCTAAATCAAAACAAAAGATTCTATGGAAATAATTATAAAATTTATGAATAAATTTAGAATATAATCCTTCCTAAAGTGAAGAAAATCATTAATTTTAAATGGAAAATGTGTGGAAATTATCAAATCTATAGTCCTCAAGAGCAGATAGCTTGAGATTGTTGATCCTAGCCATGTGACAGAGGGGATGATCACCTAATGCACTTTAAAATAGCAAATTCATCAATTTCATGTATTTTAAATATCTGAAAAATCTCAAGCTGTCTTGGAATTAGTGACTTTTGCTTTTGGCAACTGAAATATCTAGATAGCAGTAAATAAATGTCTCATTCTTGTGTAGTTTTATGGTAGAGATAAGAATAAATTATATCAACATTTCTACATATCTCACAAACCTATGAACTGGAACTTTGCATAGGGAGAAAGAATAGCTTTCTTTGGGGGAGGTATTGGAATCGAACTCATGAGCTTGTACTTGGGAGCAGGCACAGTGCTACTGAGCTAGATCTCCAGACCAAGAATAGTTTTTTTTTTTTAAATTTGTTTGTTTGTTTGTTTGTTTTATACCAGGGATCTAACTCAGGTCCTTGCAGCTGCACCACTAAGCTGAATTCACATTCCCGAGAATAGCTTTCTTGAAGCAAATTTGAACAAATGGTACCTTTCACATAGTGAAATAGAAAACAAATACTATATAATAGTTTTCATCTAACCATTAAATGTTTTAAAATTACATTTCCCCTACTATTTTTGGACATTTTAAAAACCATGTCTTCAAATTAAAATTAAATCTGTTAGTTTTCTTTGAATTCTATTAAATGATGATTAAATAGTTTCTAATGATTGATTAGAAAAAGTTTTTGGATCTTTCAACTATTTTTAAATTATTATTTTCTATTTAACACAAAATTGTACTCTTACTCAATTATTACTCTAAAGGGAAAGCTCCTATTAACATTTTAATTCAAAAGATTCATTGTCATTTTCTGACAGTAATATAATATGGTCTCAAAACTATCAGTTATTGTATGTGGAAGTCAATAGAAATCTTCATTAAGAGGATGTGCTAAAACTAGGATATGTTGATACCTAACTGGACTTCAGAAAACCAATTTAATAAGCTTAACTGGGTAATTAAAAATACTTTATGTAATCAAACCTATCATTATT